CTAAAACAAAATAAAGTGGCCACTTATTTAGGGTTCATCATGAGGGCTTTTAATCTACAATATGGAATGTTCTGATATAGTTAAAGGCTTTAAGTTTCAGGATGAGTAATAGGTAGACCTGTTATTTTCCACCCAGGTGTCTTATTTCACCTGCAGTGGCTGCTACCAGGTCATTGTGAGCACCCCTTACAGGAGGAAACATCTAGTCATCCAGCTTCTCAGTTATACCACATACAACTTAAAAACAGTTTATACTTCAAATCCTCACTGTTGAATATTTTTTTAGCTAGGTAACTAATGAAAAGTAGGAACTGACATTCAAATAGTTGGAAAACATACAACCATTTCCCTTTCCCCATCACCTCCCCCTCCACACACACACAGTCTCACCCATTCAATAAACCATTCACAGAGTAGAGTGTTCTGCTTAATGAAGTTTTCTGTTTCTCAGAGTTAAAGGCAGTCTCAACCTTGACTATATATCAATGACTTTTAGAGTAAAAGAATTTTTTTACATATTTTATACACACACACATACACATTTCTGATCTGAGCTAGATGCACATACTCCTCCACCAAAAGATTTTTATTCAATAGATATAAGGCTACAGAAATGCGTGAAACTGGCTGTGGTTAGTGTAGTTCAGTGGGTTGAGCATCGGCCTGTGAACTGAAATGTTGCTGATCTGATTCCCTGTCAGGGCATATGCCTGGGTTGCCAGCCAAGTCAGGGGCATGTAAGAGGCAACCAACTGACATTCTCCTCCTCCTTCTCCCTTCCTTCCATCTCTCTCTAAAAAATGAATGGGATCTTTTTTAAAAAGTGTAAAACTGTATTAATAAACAGGAAAACATACACATTGAAAAACACCATTCTACAATGACGGTGGAAAAGAAGTGCAAATACTTGCCCTGAAGAGTAAATCCTGCTGCCTTGAATTTGCAGAATGCTACTTCCTGGGCCATATCTGAGAATCCATATAGATTTGTAACTCATTCTTAGAGCTTCTTGCCACTGTATTAACTGCTTATGTTAAACTGTCTTGGCACTGGAAGTCTCGAGGATACTACATCTCCCAGTGGTAGACATTCTTTCAAAATGCAAAAACTATCCAAGTGTCCCACAACATCTTCAGAACTGTAAGCTTTCTGGAGCTTTCCTCTAAAACATATCTTGAAACACTGACCTTCTCTAAAATCTGTTTTAGAGTTTAAAGCCAAAACCTTCCCCAAAGGGAAGCCTTGGAACCAGACGTCGGTCCAAACCTGTGATCAAAATATGTGCTCTGGTTACACTGAGCCTAGAACCTCACCTCAGTCCATAGATTTAGCCAGGAGTGGTGACCGGAGGCCGAGTTTGGGAATAACATAATCCTCAGAAACACTCTTTCCAAGTTAGATGTGCTTGCAAGATACACAAGAAAGGAGATAAGCTGCCTGACTCCCATGTTTTAGTAACATTGGGGTAGAGAAAACTTTATCTACATGTACTATGAACTATTGATGACCAGTTGCTCAAATAATGTGAATAACTGAAATTTACGGGGGTGAAGCTGAAAGCAGCATTCAAAAGCTGACAGAAAGACAGGTCAGGCATGATAGTACCAACAATTTCACCACAGAGGCTGAAACAAGAATCAGGCTGACCGTGGCGATTGGCACCTGTACTACTGAGAGTTGCAAAGCCACAAAGCAGAAGAATTGGTCATGGAGAATTGTCACAAGACAGTGAGCATTGTTGACAGGAGAGAAGCTACAGCTGTTTTTTCTCCGGGCCTAAATTTGTGCTTCCATTCTGTGAAGCCGGCTTTGGCTTTGATACACTGAATCACTGTGTTGATAACATGCCTAAGTTACTCCAGAGCTGCACAGGTAGGAAACAGCAAACTCCAATGCATACTAGGTCAGGCCACGTAGCATCAGCAAGGGATGTGGGCTGTTTGGGAATTACGCAAACTGAAGAGAGAGTGTCCTGTTAGTGGGGGACAGGGATTGCTCAGCCCCCAGCTCTTATTTTAACGTAGGAATGTGTCACCAGACCTTCCTCTTATCCAGAAGCTGGGCATCTGGAATTTTTTAAAAATATAAAGTCTCTTCTTTTAAAAGTTTGACAAGAAAGAAAAAAATTATTATAAAAGTACCCAAAAATGGTTCAAATGGTAAATTTTATGTTATGTATATCTTGCCACAATAAAAAATAACAACAAAAAAGAAATGAAAAGCATGTGAACCAAATAAAAACCACCTGTAGTTTAGATTCAGCTGTGGACTTCCTATTATCAACCTCTGCCCTCATAATAGGGCCTGGTGTTGACCTTGCTTCCATCTCAATCCCTATCTCTTCCTTCTTTTAAAGATGCCTTAATCCCTGGACTCAGAATCAAGGACCCAAGTCCTAGAATCTGCCTCAAGGCTCCCTGAAGGTATATTTGAAAATCCTGAGAGTGATCTGGCCCTGAATTCTGCCAAGTTGTCAAGATAACCTGCCTCCTTTGCTGGGGCGTCAAAGCTTTATGGCCCATCCAGACTTTAACCAATGCGTCACCATCCCGCAAAGGTCCTGGGGTTGCCAGTGGCTGGGTCTACTTCCACCTTGTCCTACCAGGTGCACACTCTCTCTATCTCTCCTGTCACACTGTAGGGAATCAGGCACCATCACATCTGTCCTGAGATGAGAAAATTATCATAACTTGTATTTCCCCGCTATGTGCTATGTTCTGACACCATGCTAGGAGCATTACATGAATTATCTCAGTTAATGATTCTCTTAACCCTGAAATATGTGTAATTTCACATGGAACATGGGATCAGAAACTACATAATTCATGTAAATTGCATATCTACTGAGCGGAAGATCTGAAATTCAAGCTTAAGTCTGAGGCCCACGCATGCTCCATTGCCTTTCAAGGGAGATAGAGGCAAGGGAGAGTGGGAGATGGATTTCTATACCTCCATGCAGGTGGGAAAGGAGGCAATACTCTTTAGCATTCTTAATCAATTTCATACCATGCTTTGAAAGTTCACCGTATTATCACTTTCCAATTTTGTGACTTTTGTATACAGTTATCTATGGTTCCCAGATTTGGGGATTTCATGGTCAGTGATATTTTAAAATATATTGTGGGAGCCAACATAAGGTTGCCAAACTTCTATTTTGCCAAGTGTAGGGGAAGTCAGAGATGCAATATGGAAATCAGAGATGCAATACAGTTCCAGCAGTAAAGACATCCGGGAAATGTTAGACTCTGTGTAACCTTTTGTGACTGCTTAACTGTCTGTGGTCTCAGGCTTGACTGACTACCCCAAAAGCCAGTATACCTCCCAAAGATAAACATGATGGCCCCATGAAGGAGGTTAATGAATGTACAGAGTGTGGACAACTGCCTGAAATGCTATCTGTTAACTTAGAAATGCATTGTTCTTTCTGGTGGACTAAGGGACTACCCACCATATGGTTTTTTTACTATTAACATCTATAAAAAAAGAGCCCCTGTCCTGGGAGGGGTGTGATTCCTCCTGTGGGCCACCACTGGGAGAGAGCAGCTGCTTTGCCCGTGCATGTGAGTTTCTCCTATTACAGTTATTATGAACTGAATGAGGCTACACGTCAGTTCTTTGGAATCAACCCTGAATTTAGATTTTTGGGGCTTTCTCCCAATACTAAGTAAAGATATTTTTTTAATCTATCAGCATCATTATCACTTCATTGAATGAAAAACTTGTAACACACACAAGTGCAATTTATGCACACATGCATGAGCACATGCACAAACATTAGTAGGTTCGTGGAACCAGAAATGCTTCTTGCCTTTGCCTTCCTTCACAGCTGGTGTGTACATGTGAATACACCAGAGTTCCCAGCAACAATTGTGCAATGCAAAACTGTGCTTGGAAAACCATTGTGTGAAAGTTGGAAAACCTAACTCTACAAAACAAACCAATGCTATTACAAATGTCCACTAGTTTCCCACCACAAAGGCTAGATCTAGAATATCTTATTTTTAATTAGTAAGTGAGGCCCCAGGAGATTAAGCAATTTGCTTAAAGCTTTTTCCGAGCAAAGACTAGAAGTGAGTTATTCTGGTAGCTACTTCAGTTCTTTTCATCACCAGGGGCAATACTACTATAATTTTCACATTATAGAATTTATTTAACTGTAATATTTAACATTGTAAGTTAAATAGGCTTAAGGAGGTATAGCTTTGGACATGTCCTACTATTTTAAAAAAATAGTTGTGTGAGAAAATGCAATCTGTAGCATGAACTTTCATGCTAACATGACGATTATCACAGATACATTCCCTTTTTTCATGTCCCTCCTGCCCCAGGCACCATGACAAGGAAGTATAATGTGATCCTCAGAGGGGAATCCATTTATCCTCCAGAAAAGGACAATCATGGGACTTTTCATATTAGAAGTTTATAAGTCTGTGTGCCTGTGAGTGTTTTTGCACCCTCATCAGTACTCAACATAGGAGTTAAACCGACTCACTGACATGTAACCAGATTATTAACATAACCTATAATTAGAATAGTATTTACTGTTCTGTTGGCTTAGCATCCTCCCTGAACTTTAAAGAGAGCTGTGACATGAAAATGTCATTTGAGGCTGGGACTCTATAGAGAAACAAGCGTACAATTCACATAAACTTGTAAAATTCAAATATATCTTTTAAAGAGGGAGAGTAATAAATGTATTAAACTAAGGGAACTCTTAGTTCAAGAAACAAATCATCAAAGGTGACCATGAGAATTATAAGACTCAAAACAATATATTTGCTTATAGTTTTAAATTTGTAATTATTAGCCTGGCCTCTCTAGTGATATGGTATGCATATATAGTACATGACATATTATATATAGCAATATGACCATGAGTATTATATATAATAATATGAGTATTATATATAGTGCTATATGTTAAATACAGGTAGTACACAGAAGATTTAGGAGATCAGTATCAAGGAAAGCATTTCTAATTATGAAAAGCAGCATCATACTTGAGAACTTCGATTTTCTTCTCCATTTTCCAAGGCTTGCATTTGACATTAGCAATCATTTGTCTTTGCTCATCTAACTCAGCCTTTAGTCTTTCCAATTCCTCTTCATCAATTTCATCATCTTCGTCCCTTTAAAAGGAAAAAAACAATAGAGTTATATTATACTTGACTTCCAGACTTAAAGAAAAATGACATCAGAAACTCAGTCATGTATCAGCTTGGCTGTACACAATGGGTACTGAGATTCATAAGCACTGGGGCTTGGACCTAAACACAGACACAGGAAACCTGGGATTATTATAACTTTAAAAACATGGTATTTACACTCTGATGTCCTGAAACTAAGCTATTCTTACAAACAGAGTCCCCAAACTCCCAGAAGAGTTACAGATCTATCAAATCTATTTTCTCCCTTCTTTGTTGTCTTGTACACTTCCCCCACCAATTCTATATTTCAGTTTTAAACTTCATTTTTCAGTAAAGATAATAAATTAGAGATGAATATGTCTTTGAAGTACCCTTAAATTTTTTAAGTTACCTCTGACTCAAGAGAAAGAGAGAAAAATTGAAATAGGAAAAAAATATGTGTTTCTCAAAGCTAACTTAATCTTTTAATTAAGCTCACAACTTCAATTGATAAAATTCAACTCAAATTATATTTGGTGCAAGTGAATTCTTTGAAGACACCTTCAAGGGAATTTAGTTTCTTGCTGAGCAAATAAAATATGCCTTTTTTTCTTCTATGTTCCTAGTATTGCAAAAATATTATAAGGGCCAGAAGTTGAAGAAAATAAAATGAAATATGAGCAACATAACTTTAAATCGAGGAATGTAATGCCATATTGTAGAGATAATTTTCTGGTAACAGATTATTTCAGTTATTAAGCATTTGTCACTCGAGTTCAAACTCACCTTTTTGTATTTACTACTGCAACCCCGGGGCTGAGATTCTAGGGCACACTTTTGCTTTGTCAGCTGGCTCAACATGAGGTTGTCAACAGGTTAATACTAAGAAAGAACTTGGTCTTCTCTTCGGTTTTCTGTTTGCTTCTTGCTTCTTCCCCCAGGAGCTTCAGGGCACCCCACGGCTGCAGAGGACTAGCTGGCCAGTCTGTCCAGCACTAGCAGCAGGGGTTTTGCCACTTGAGTATCAGCCCCCTCTGCCATGGTTTCATCTCTGAAAGTCCCTTCTCTGGACTTCTAAGTTTTAATTTCAATCTCTTTCCATTATTCCTCTAGCCCTTGGGTGGTAGCTCTTTCCTAAAATTGCTATCACTATAAACCTTACTGTTCTCTTTTCACTTTTTCAGTAACCTAGTTAACAATTCTTTATTATTTTTAAGCAGTTCCTTGTGTAAATGTTCTTGGTTCAATTAACTGTTGAAATGTTTTTCTCCTAACTAGACTCCACAGGCATTGTGATATGACTCAGAGTTAGTGAGAAATATGTTTTGTTGTTCCCTAAGTTTATGACTAAACATAGGAAGGACATGGCAAAAGCCGTTTTTGAAAATTCCAGCTGAGAAACAGGAGACTATATTTATAGTTTTATAGCCCACCCTATAAAATGACTTTGCAATCTCCTTCCTTTCTCAGCAATTCATAGGTTTAATAATATCATGATTGCTGAAACACAAATTCATATTAAACCTCCAGAATATTGAATAACATGTCCTGTTGACAGTTTGGTTTTTGGCCAATTCAGATATTTTTGCTTAGAAGAGTAATCTTGACTCAAGAGAACTAACTATAGGAGTATACTCTACTAAAACACAACTCTGGTTGCCATTAGGTTGTTTCTGTTTTAATTACTTGGTGTTTATTATATAAAGTCATTTTTGTTTTTTTAAGTATATAATATTTATTATATTTTTCCATTACCATTTAGTCCCCATATACTCTCCTACCCCCAGCCATCAACACCCTATTGTCCAAGTCTATGAGTCCTTTTTCTTTTTTTGCCCAGTCCCTCCATCCCCTAACCTGCCACTTCCTGACTGGTTGTCATCTGCTCTCCATCTATGAGTCTGTCTCTGTTTTGCTTGTTAGTTCAGCTTGTTCATTACAGTCCAGATATGAGTGAAGCTGATGGTATTTATCTTTCTCTGACTGGCTTATTTCACTTAGCATAATGTTCTCCAGGTACATCCATACTGTCACAAAGAGTAAAATGTTCTTTTTTACAGTTGAGTGGAATTCTATTGTGTAAATGTCCCATTGTTATTTTATCCATTCATCTAGTGATTGACACTTGGACTGCTTCCTTATCCTGGCAATTTTAAATAATGCTGCAATGAACATAGGGGCACTTACGTTCTTTTGAATGTGTTTTGGGTTCCTTCAGATATATTCCCAGAAGTGGAATCGCTGGGTCAAAAGGCAGATCAATTTTTAATTTTTTGAGGTTTCTTCATACAGCTTTCCATAGTGGCTGCACCAATCTGCATTCCCACCAACAATGCAAAAGGGTTCCCCATTATCCACATCCTCACCAGCACTTGTAGATTTTTATTTATTGATGATGGCCATTCTGACAGGTATGAGATGGTGTCTGATTGTGGTTTTAATTTGCATTTCTCTGGTGATTAGTGACATTGAGCATCTTTTCATATGTCTATTGGTCATCTGTGTGTCCTCTTTGGAGAAGTGTCTATTCGGGCCCTTTGCCCATTTTTGAATTGTGTTGTTTGTTCTTTTAGTTTTGAGTCTTGTAAGTTCTTTATAAATTTTGGATATTTACCCCTTTTCAGATATATTGATGAATATGCTCTCTCATTCTGTGGGTAGTCTTTTTATTTTGTTAATGACTTCCTTAACTGTGAAAAAAAACTTTTAGTTTGATATAGTTCCATTTGTTTATGTTTTTCCCTTGTTTTCCTTGCTTGGGAAGATACATCCAATAAAATATTGTTACAAGCAATGTCCAAGATTTTGCTGCCTATATTTTCTTCTATAATTTTTATGGTTTGGGGTCTACATTTAAGTCTTTGATCCATTTTGAATTTTTTCTTATATGTAGTGTAAGAAGGTGGTCTAGTTTCATTTGTCTGCAAGTATCTGTCCAATCCTCCCAACATCATTTATTGAATAAATTATCTTTAGCTCATTGTATGTGCTTGCTTTCTCTGTTGAATTTAATCAACTACAAAGGTATGGATATATTTTTAGGTTCTCAATTTTAATCCATTGATCTATGTGTCTGTTTTTATGCCAGTACCAGGCTGTTTTGATTACTATGGCCTTGTAGTATAGTTTGATATTAGGTAGCATGATTCCTCCAACCTTGGTCTTCTTTTTCAGGCACTGGTGTTATGTGGGGTCTTTTGTTGTTCCTTATACATTTTTGAAATATTTGTTCTAGTTCTGTGAAATATGTCATTGGAATTGTGATAGGAATTGCATTGAATTCTTTCATAGATTGCTTTGGGTAGGATGACATTTTAATGATGTTAACTAATCATATCCATATACACGGTGTGTCCTTCCACTTATGTATATCTTCTTCAATTTCTTTCTTCAGTGTCTTACAATTTTCCAAGTACAGGCCTTTTACATCCTTCGTTAGGTTTATTGCTAGGTATTTTATTATTTTCTGGAGCAGTTGTGAATGGTATTGTTTTCTTAACTTCCTTTTTTTAGCTCATTATTGGCATATGAAATGCAACTAATTTCTGAATATTAATTTTGTATCCTGCTACTTAGTTGAATTCATTTATCAGTTCTAGTACTTTCTTGGTGGAATTTTATGGCAACATAAAATACTTGAGGGTTTTTTAGTACATCTATAGCCACAGTCTGTGTGTGTGTGCGTGTGTGTGTGTGTTTGCCAATTAGAATAATATCTGAGTTGATTTGTCTGAGGGGGAATATATTTTAATAAAAATTATTGCTTCGCTTAAAATTACTCAAAAAATTTGTTTCCATATAGATGTAGACTAAATTTAAACTATATAGATAATTTTGTACTGAAATCTGTATGGAAACTATCAAAAAGAATAAATATATATCAAGAAACTATCAAGAACAGATTCATTACATGGAGGGTTATCAACAGGGGAGTGGGAGAAGAAGAGAGGGGGAGAAGGTACAGAGGACAAGTGGCATAGATGGTAGGTAGAAAATAGAAAGGGAAAGAGTAAGGATAGTATGGGAAATGTAGAAGCCAAAGAACTTATAAGTACAACCTATGGACATGAACTAAAGTGGGGGGATATGAGTGGGAGGGGGTGTGCAGGGCAGAGGGGAATGAATGGGGGAAAAAGGGACAACTGTAATAACACAATAAGATGTATTTTTTAAAAAACAAAACAAAAAAAAGAACAGATTCAGTTAGAAAACAAAAAATCATTGAATTATTATTAAGACTAATAACTCAGCCCTGGCTGGTGTGGCTAGTTGATTGAGTGCCAGCCTATGAACCAAAGGGTCACCAGTTCAATTCCCAGTCAGGGCACATGCCTGGGTTGTGGGTCCAGCCCCCAGTAGGTGGCATGTGAGAGGCAAACACACAGTAATATTTCTTGCTCTTTTTCCTTCTCTTCCCCGCTGTCTAAAAATAAATAAATAAAATCTTTTAAAAAATTTTAAAAACTAACAATTCTGTTATTTGATATTTTAAGTCTTCATCTTTCCCACTCTCCCAAAATAATTTATAATATTTATATTTTAGTACCTTAAAACTTTATATTAATAAGTGCCTATTAAGAATCTTATATAAAACAGTATCTAAGATAATACGGCATTATATAAGAATTAAAGAATTATCTATTCAATATGTAGATCTGCCATGTAAATAATGCTTATTTTTTATGTAAATTTTTAGATAGCACTTAATGGAAAACTTCCTAACACTATATGCTTTCCTGATATCTTTTTTTCTTTTTAATATATTTTACTGATTATGCCATTACGGTTGTCCCATTCCCCCCCCTGCATTCCCCTCCACCCTGAACACCCCCTCTCCCACCATTCCCCCCCATTAGTTTATGTCCATGTGTCACAAGTTCTTTAGATTCTATATTTCCCATACTATTCTTGCTCTTCCCTTTTTATTTTCTACCTACCATCTATGCTACTTATTCTCTGCACCTTCTTTCCCCTTCTCCTCCCACTCCCCTGTTGCTAACCCTCCATATGACCTTTATTTCTATGGTGCTGCTCCTGATCTAGCTGTTCTCTTAGTTTGCTTTTGTTTTAGGTGTGGTTGTTAATATCTGTGAGTTTGCTGTCCTTTCACTTTTCAAGTTTTTTTAACTTCTTTTTCTTAGATAAGTCCCTGTAACATTTCATATAATAAGGGCTTGGTGATGATGAACTCCTTGAATTTGACCTTATCTGATAAGTACTTTATCTGTCCTTCCATTCTAAATGAGAGCTTTGCTGGATAGAACAATCTTGGATGTAGGTCATTGGATTTCATGACTTGGAATACTTCTTTCCAGCCCCTTCTTGCCTGTAAGATGTCTTTTGAGAAATCAGCTGACAGTCTGATGGGAACTCCTTTGTAGGTGATTGTCCCCTTATCTCTTGCTGTTTCTTCTCCTTCATTTGAATCTTGGCTAATATAATGATGATGTGCCTTGGTGTGTTCCTTCTTGGGTCCAACTTCTTTGGGACTCTCTGAGCTTCCTGGATTTCCTGGAAGTCTATTTCCTTTGGCAGATTGGGGAAATTCTCCTTTATTATTTGTTCCAATAAGTTTTGCATTTCTCACTGTTCCTCTTCCCCTTCTGGCACCCCTATAATTCTGATGTTGGAACGTTTAAAGATGTCCTGGAGGTTCCTAAGCCTCTCCTCATTTTTTTGAATTCTTGTTTCTTCATATTTTGCTGTTTGGTCATTTTTTTCATCTTTCTGGTCCACTCCTTTGATTTGAGTCCCAGTTTCCTTTCTGTCACTATTGGTTCCCTGCCCATTTCATTTCAATTAGTTTAGCCTTCATATGTTCCTCTAATTTGTGACTATAATCAACCAGTTCTGTGAGCATCCTGATCACCAGTGTTCTGAACTGTGCATCTGACAGGTTAGCTATCTCTTGGTTGCTTAAAAGTATTAGCTTGGGGCTTTGAGCTGTTCTTCTTCTTAAGCCATGATGTTTTGGTCTGTTCGTGCCTGTTACATATAAGGAGTAGAGCCTTAGGTATTCCTAAGGGTCACCTTAGTGATAGATGAAAACACCTCTCAGGTGTTTCAGGTGTTTCAGTGATAGATGAAGCACCCCTCAGGATGGGGTGACCCAGGTCGCTGGTTTGTGATGCTGTATGTGAGGGCGGGGTCAGAGAGGGGCAATGGCATTTGTTCTGCTCTCTCTCAGATTTCAGTCCCCTCTGCTCCTTTCCACAAGCAAACCGGCCCCCCCTAATGCTGGCTCCTGGGTATGTGGGCCTGTGCACCTTCCAGGACCCCGTGGGTCTCTCCAACAAACTCTCTGTGAGCCTGGGAGCTTCTCCTGGCACCTCGACCCCGAAAGTTTTTCCAATTGGTGCTTTTAGGCTTTAATTCCTGTGGCCAGGGCCCTAACCTCTGTGGTCTGTCTCACTGCTCACTCCTTCACCTGGTTTATCTGAGTGTGAATGTGTGACCATGGTCAGCCAGACGCCTTGCACCCTCACTGGGTCTGCCTGTTGCCACCCCACGCCTGTGATCCACCATCTGCCGCCTGTGCGTCTGGGTCACTCCGGCAGCTTTTCCCTGCATGACCCCACTCCCTGCTCCACCAGCCACTGACCCCACCCCTCTTACTGGTCTGGCTGAATGGTTCGTTGTTGTCATACTTCCGTACAGTTCAATTTTCTGTGTTTTGGTTGTGTTTTTGTTACTAAAACTTTGTTGTCTTTAAACTTGGTTATGTGAGGAGGCACAATGTTTCCACCTATGCCTCCATCTTGGCCGGAAGTCCTTTCCTGCTATCTTAAACCTAGTACTTTATATGTTTAACCTATCCCAATTCTATGATTCCTTCAAAAATCATAATAAATTCAGCAAATGACCCATCCCAGCCTCCCCTGCCCCTATAAATATTTTTCAATAACTCTTTTTCTGTTTATCTTTACGAGAATAGTTTTCTCCAAAACAGCAAACCACTTCTTCTGTGGCACAGTTATACTGCATTATTTTATAATAATTTGTATCTAAGTTGTCTCTCTCTTACCTATATTATGAACTACTAGAGAATGCATGCAGATTCATATTCATAACCCATGTACACCAAGGACATTAGCAAATTGTCTTCCACAGAAGTTGAGTTGGATAAATATTTATTGAATAAATGTTTATATACAGAATTTTTATGGACAGGGTTATATTATTAACTCAGTGCTTGAAAATAACACTCAATATAACAATGTCTTCTAAGATAAATATGGTATGGAAAGACATTTATTCCTACACTTAATGATCCAAGACTGGGACATTTTTAAAGTTTTTGTTGTTAATGGTTCATTGCTGCAGGTGGATCACGCTATGCTACAAGGTACAGTTGTTGTTGGATAAGTTACTTTCAAATATTCAGGTAATTAAAACTCACCAGGATTACAGGAAACTGTTTTTCTAGGAACCAAAGAAAAACATATCAGAAGGATACAACACAGACATTCTTCATCTTCTAAAATTTAGGACTAATATGTGCAAGAATGGTTTTCTATCTTAGGTTTAATTTATTTAAACAAAGTTGTTAGAAAAAAAAGGAAGCATAGTGAGCTGAATTTCTCCCTGTTGTGAACATATTACTTATTCACTTACTGCTGGGTCATGAGAAATCTGTAATATTATTAGGAATAACTCCAAAATGTCTAACAAAGCAGTGTTTTTTAACTGTCTTCCAAGATAGAATTATAACCTTGGTCTTAGTTCATTTTAAATATTTTGTCAGCACAGGGAAATTCCCTATGAACATTTAAATTTTAAGAGACTATAAATTAATTAACCTAAATAGATGTGCTCTGATTTGCCTACTAATCTTTCTCAGAATATATTTGGTAATAGTTTCATTTAAAAAAAAAAAGATGCTTATCTTCAAAATGAACAATAGAAAATGGACCTTTAAACAAAGATCAGAACTCTCAATCATCCCAAATAATTTATGACACTAGAATAGTTGCACAATTTGTGACTGCAATAATATAATTTGCAAAATGTATGAAGATGAAGTTCATTTTAGCCAAGTTTGGCTCTGTGAAGGAGTGGGAAGATATGAAGGCAGGAGAGCTTGTGAGTTTCTCAGATCAGGATGTGAATGGGACCAGCTAAAAGCAACACTCTTTAGCAACGCCCACCTGGGGCCCATGCCAGGGACAAGATTCCTTCCCCCAGGCAACAGGGGCCAGACCTGGCTGATTCATATGATCCTATCCCTAGAGGCTGAGCAGTGATATGAGGGCCTTAAGCAGACCTAGAGAAGAAAGAAATTCCCACCCAGTTCATTTTTTTAATTTCTTCAAGATTTTATTTATTTATTTTTTAGAGAGAGGAGAAGGGAGGGGAAAAGTGAGGGAGAGAAACATCAATTGGCTGCGCCTCGCATGCCCCCAACAGGGGACCTGGCCTGCAACCCAGGCATGTGCCCCAACTGGGAATTGCACTGGCAACTTTTCTCTTTGGAGGATGATGCCCAGGCTACTGAGCCATACCAGTCAGTGCCCAATTCACTGTTTTAAATGGACCTCTCATAGGTAGAAAGGAAAGAATTCGAGAATACAACCTGTACCATGCCTATTTTTGGTAATGTTTTCTCAATGAAATACTACTGTCAGATACATAAACTTTGCTAATAAGAAATATTACTAATTTTAATAAGACATGAAACTTAAAAGTATGTTATCTTTTGTTTTTTCAAGGAGCAAAGCATAAAGATACTTTAAAAAATGATACAAATTAAGAAAAATACCAAAGTCAGAATTCAAAGTAGGTGGTGTTTCTTGGTTATCAAAGAAAGAAGAAAAAGTAGGAGCTTAGGAAGGAGGAGAAGGAAAAAAAAAAAGAGGAGGAGGGAAAAGCAGAAAAGGGAGAAGTTTAAAACATAAATTAATACAACTATAATAAAGAAGTGTTGCTTTTATTTTAAAAGGAACCACTGTCTATTAATGTTAAACTTCTCTACCTCACAAAATTTTCAGTTGTATTTAATTACAATTATTTATGAAGAGGAAAATAATAGCTAATTATTAAACACTGCAGTGTGTCGTCTTGGAAGAATATCTTAGAAAATTTCTCATCACTTAAAGTCCTAGGATTATTTGGGAAGAAATCTTATCAGCTCATGCTGATTTCAGGGCCTGGGATTGGCAAGAGTTAAATTGGCTATTCCCTCAAATCCTTTCCAAGTGCTCTAGGATTTCTATTATTAAATTTGTTTTACATGCGCACTTTTCCAACTTATCTGTTATCTATAAATTTCTGGAAAGCAAAGACCAGAAAATTACTTCCTTGGACTTTTCCTAAACAACATTTAATATATTATTCTACACAAACTCAGTACTAAGTATAATGTTGGCCTGGTGGAACTGAAAAATAAAAGATGAATTAAATAGGAAATAATAATTGCAATCTTCTACAACAAGGGCTCATACACATTTTTTCTGTAAAGGAACAGACAGTTAACATTTTAGGCTTTGAGTACTACATACATCTCTGCCCCATATTTCCTTTTATTTTCTATTAATAGCCCTTTAAAACTATAAGAACTATTATTAGTTCTTGGGCTGGAATTAGCCATAGTTTTCCAACCCCTGCTCAGGAAAATAAAGATATTTGGGATCACTGTATAGGAGTTTTCCATTTCGTTAATAATGCATATAATTAATGGGGTAACTTTAAAATATTTAAATTAATTATAATACATTAATAACTATGCGAGTTTAGATCTCTCATAAGGGAATTTCTTTTAGGCCATCTTTAATATATATTCATTTGTAAATTCTATTTTAATATTAAAATACACTTAACTAAGTGGAGTAAAATTATAGCATCGGCTTAAGCTTGTCTTTCTAAAAGTAGTTTTAAATGCCAATCTTCAAGCCAAAGAATGTCTGAAGGAATGGTCTCTCAGCATTGGGTGCTTTCCCATGAACAGCAATTTCAGTTATAGACCAGAACTAACTTACGCTCCTCTCCTCAACTTCTTCTTCCTCTCTTTTTCTCTGGCCTTTTTCGTTTCTTCGTCCTCTGGTTCAGGTGGTGGGTCGTCCTCACTAATAACATCTCTGTTCCGTTTCCTCTGAGGTCTCAAGCTCTCTCTTCGGGGTAACTTATCTTCATCTTCCTCTTCCTCTTCACCTAAACACAGCAGTTAATGCTTCAGTGAGCAATATCAGAAAGTGCTCTTTCCTGCTACCAAGTGTATTCTTACTTTTGGTTACATTGTCATACATCTGACACCATAATCCAGCAACTTGCCACATCACGATAAGATGTGCCATGCTGTATATATTTCATAGCCTGCCACTTGAGTATATTTATCTAGAACTTCATCTCCTTTATAGTTCATTTACTCAAATATGTGAGTGAGGAGCTATAATTTTAATAATCTTTAGAATTCCAGTCTTCATTTACTTGGGTAACTAGATGACTTGGAGTTTAATATCAAACAATGATCTCTAAAGCCAAGTTTAGAGATTGCAAATCCAACATATAAGGGTTGTTTAATTAACTACTCTGTGTTTACTACAACTTCTGTCTTAGAACAAAGGACAGGAATGACAAGGAAAGGCTACAAAGTAGAATAATTTTTATTCTAGTATATTCTAGTATATATTATTCTGAGATGACATTAATTTAGCCCTTGAGATTTCTCAATTCAAATTACCCTCATTCTTGATTCTAAATATTTCTTTCTTTTTTTTTAAATAGTTCTTTTACTTTCCCAAATGAAATTGGTCATAAATACATTTGCTTGACCATCTATCCTTATAAATAGAAATAATTTGTAAATATGCATTTAATATAAAACTGAAAAAATGATATCTTTTTTCTTTAACTAACAATGCCTCTTTGTCCATAACATCTTAGGGAGCTTTCAAGTAAGGAACAGAAAGAGAATTCAGTTCCTTGCTTCATGGTTTATCACGTACAATCTTACTTCACTTTCATCTCTGTAAAATTCTGATATTCTTAAGTTTATTCTTAAGTAGAATCAACTACTATAAAATGAAATGTGATCATATTTATCAATATCTCATAGAGAAAAAATTGTACTTCAATGGAAAATTATAAATTGTCTTTAGCATACCCTTCTGTGTTATCTTATTTTGATTCTTGGGAGCTGTTTTGCAACTCTAAATTATAGATAAATAGATAGCAATATAAAATAATTCTTGTTTGTAGACATCTGTTTAGTGGAGAAATAATCCTCTCCCACCAAAACACACACACACACACACAAAAAAACAGTTACATCTTTTTTTGCACATCATTTCAAAATTCCTGATCTACAAATGTATCTGTTCTTTAGATTTGCCTTTGAATTGGTTGTAATGTCTCACCCGATTGCTCATTAATTAGTTAAATATGTTCACCTCTGCATATATGTTTTATCTTTTGACAGTACTTATAAAAACTTTTTTACTGATATTTCAAATCATTGCCTATATCACTAAAGTTTAATAGCAGAGGGGAACAGAAAGACAACTTGACTAAGCTTTGAAAACTACTCTTATCAAAATCAGGAGTGAGTTTGCACTGGCTAAATATTGTGGCAAATGTTGTGTGTTATTTGTACATTCTGGCATTCTAAAATTTTAACCAGCCTTAATTAGGCACATTAGGAACAAAGCTTGATAGGGATTGAGAGACAATTTCACCCACATATAATTCAAGCACTCAAGCAGCTACTTAGTACTCTGCATTTTAGTGTATTTGTATTACAAGTGAACTATTAAACTTGCAGAATTTTACCATGGAGGAAAAGTGTTTTGATTTCTCTTTTACCACTTAAGAATGAAAAGGCAGTTCTTGATGCTTTAACTAGTTTCCAAATATTCAAATTCTAAAAAAATAAATGTAGTTGCCTACTAAGTGCAGATTTGAATGTTATCTTTTGAAATGGGCTTGATGCAGTATTAAAGGGTAGCAGAATATGCCACCTCAAAATATGACAGTTGGAGTGCAAAATATACCACCCCAAAATATGCCACTTTGGTGTATTGATTACTTTGAGCTGCAGACACTTAAAAAGCAGCAAATTCAGGAAGAGGCATTCTCTGAACTCCTCTTATCAGCCTAATGACAAGTCCTCCAACAAGAATTCAATTGTCAGAAATTCCCTCCCCAGGAGTTTCAGCCCCAGGGAAGGCTGACACATCCTAGGATAGATGAGCAGAGGTAGACACCACATTCAGACATACTTTGTCACACACTATCATACTTCCCATCTGTTCTTCGAAGGGCCCATTCGTCTTTCCTAAAAATCATTTATTCTGTCTCATCAAGAGCACTATATTCCTCTTCCTTTTCCCTACTGAGATGATATTTAAGTCTAAACCACCTCAGAGGGTTACTTATTTTTCCTGGGTATCTCCCATATACGTAAGTTATATGTGTTAATAGAATTATTTTTCTCTTGTTAAGACTGTCTTATATTACAGGGATCTTAGAAGGGTAGAAGGAAAATTATTTTTCCACCTCTACAGTACTCAAACCATGGTAGGCAGAATCTGTGTGAGATTCTGGGCTGTTTTCACACAGCATACGCCAAATTAATAAAAACAATTGGCATTGTGAACATTCACATGGTGTTCATGTTGTGCTCAGGTTATTAAATTGACAATGTTGATGTGTCCTGTAACTGAAGTCTTCTTGAGATACTGCTTTTTCTTTCAGTTTTGATAAATCTGAAGCTCTTGCTCATAATCATTTGTCTCATGTTCCAGTCCATGAGTCATCTGCATGCGTAGACAGGAGTTTCAATCTAGGCTCTCGAGTTGAACATACACAAGGTAAAAACAATGGAGCAATTTGGACAAAATACCAATGAATTGAGTTCAAAAGAATTTATTATTTATTTTAATTGAACTACCTGATCAGTTTTGTCAAAATGATTAATCTGTTCCATTGTAGTAATTCATCCTTAGAGAAAAGGTTTTAGGATAAGGAATTTAACAGGGAAAATGGTACAGAAATAAAAAAGCTAATTTTTCTGGACTACCAACTACTTTATCATGAGTAATTTATACACTGGGCGGAATGTATGCACCAACTGAATGGAATCTAGAGTGGAAATTCTCCTCGCTGGGCTGACCTCTTTTGTGAGAACATCAGAAGGCATCCACACACGCTCCTATTGCTCACATTTGGCAGCATAATACCACAAGAGGAGAGAATGAACCCCCTGAACTCACTGCTAGTCCACAAGAAACACATCCCAGGGGGTCTACCCCCACTTACTTGAACTTTCCTCAGTATCATCATCTTCTTTCTCCTCCACTTGGATTTGTACTGTTGAAGAAAGAAAAAACATGGTAACTCTTTAAATAATGGTACAGTTGTCTGTAACTATTTTTTACTGTTATTATTTTCTTAGTAAAGTTCTTGTGTGCAGTTAAAACACTTTTTCATAAACTTGTCTAAATGAACATGTTTATTAAAGATCCACAGCTCCAGCTTCTTATACATTGTTGTGCAAAAAGTTCTCTGCTTCACTGCCTTTGAGGATTTGCAAAACATATCAATTATAAGCCTGTCAGCTCAATTTAAAATAAATGCAACCAAAATAGATTTGTATTACAATAAGTAGACTTGAGGTTTGCTGAATTATTTTATTCTATGACAAGTGAATTTTTAGTAAAGCTATATCCAGATGTACAATTTGGTTATTATAATCAAATTAACTTATTAAAATAGAGAATATTTCATCCTTACAAGATAACCAACATCAAAAAGACTTTTAAAATACTTAAAGCCTGATATTTTCTATTTCAATAGGTTTTTTAAGTATTTTATAGATATATCCTAAATTTCCTAATATTTGATTTACCTTGATAATGTGAAGATAAGAGATATCACAGTTCTTTCTAACACAAAGAACTTTTCTTCTGTTTTTCTCTCATGCCATACTGAAACTGTCTTGTTTTTAGTTTTGCTCTAGTTTTTTAAATGCACATAAAAAGATTTTATAAAATTTTTAATTCAAATTAATATGGAGAAATATGTTAATTGGCAGATTTTTCCCTTTGTCAACCATTGTCCATTCATTATGGGTTTAGTCAGCCGAAGATAATGGTCTGCAACTTGGTGTGGTAAAAATTACAGCACCCTATTTCTTTAAAAACAGTAGTCTAGTAACTTGCTTATAAAATATTAATTTTGTCATACTTTTATTTAAGGTGGATGAGATGACGATGTTACTGTGCACACAGGAAATGGCCTCCGGTTTTGTTTCCGCTCATGCACCATCAAAGGTTATTATTCAGAGCCTGACAGGCATATTGAAAAAGCATCTCATGCCAGGAGTTTAAATTCCATTCACAAAGAAGATTATTGTAAAAGCACTTTTTGCTTTTAAAAGGCATCTGCATAAAATTCTTTAGAAAATGCAAAAATGTTATCACTCAACATCAGCCATGCAATGTGAAAATAAGTGTTCTTTTGTTGAGAATGAACATATGCTTTCTGTCACTGGCTGTAACTGGAGCTGCACAAAGATCTTTATGTCACCACTGAGAGTTCACAATAGTAAAGGCAGACACTTCTAAGAAGATATTCTATATTCAACAATAGATCATGGTCTTTTATTTGCAATTAAGGTCACCTCCAATCTTCTTCAGTCAAAGAAGAATTCCTTAGAAGGCATAAGATTAGCCTTGGAACAGTGTCTGGTCAGTGTGTATAATACAGAAATGGCTAAGGACAAATAGCAAAGGCTGACACACAGCCTATTCTGTAACATACCAAAGCAAAAATTCACAGAAAGTATTACACAGGTTTGTGATAACCAATCTACTACACATGATCACATAAAGTTAATTAAATTAAATAGAAAAATACTAGATGAACAAAAATGTAAGAAAATATTCAGGGAAAATTATATTTAAGTAAAAGCAGCAGAATGAAATACCCCAAGCCAAAGAGATAAGCATCAAATCAATTTCCTCTGGTAACAGGGGAGAGAAAAAAACAGGGCTGAAATCATAGACCATCTTTTCAGGTACAAAACGGATAGTCCTAAATGACCATTAAGTGAAACTTAAAATTCCATAAGATGAGACATCCCGGTGGCTGCAAGTAAAGAACTAAAAAAGACCTATGATTTCTAAGTGACATAAAGAGAGTATTGAGGAAATAGCCCCTTCCTTCCTCTGACTGACTTTCCTACAATGATTCTCATCTGCACAGGATTATCTGCATATTCTTATTAGATGCCCTCATTACTCAATAGCATTCCTTCACCTAGAAGTTGAGTCAGGACCTGTAAGGAGTCATTTTTATAGTTATTGTGATCACAATTGGTTTGCTCTTGATTCAAAGATTCAGCAAAAGCATCATCAGCATCAGGAACTGAACTGCAGCACTATGACCAGGAGACTAAGACTCTGTTATGAGCCTCAGGCCAGACTTTATTTTAATGGACTATTATCTGGCCTGAAAAGCAACTGTAATGGTGGTCTGTATCTCCTGCAGCTCAAAGTGATGCTAAAAAACCAAGTTAAGAAACTTCTCCAAGACAAAAGGCCTGCGAAAAAGAAATTCAGAACACTTACATGTAAGCTACAAACTGCCGTTCCCTTCTCAGACAACTTTGGGCATGGCCTCTTGCCATCCCTTCTCTCAGCAATCCTAGCAGTTTATTTCCAATCATATGACCCCCTCATGCTTTGGCTGCTTCCCAAAGCCTATTGATTATGTACTTTAAAAATAATCTCTCTCCTGGGGAGTTATTTGGAGGACAGTGAATAAGAGAAGGGAGAGATCCTGTCAAAATGTTGGAGGCAAGAAGCAAAACTACACTGAAGTAAGCTTATTTAAGGCAGGAATATGCAATAGGAGCAGATGAACTCCTAGGCAACCCAGATCCTCATTTCATGCAAATAGACCCAGTAATTAAAAAAAAACAGTATAACAAAACAATAGCAAAATGTTTCAGGGGCACATTTCGGAGGCATTGGAATCATTCAAAAAAGTGATTTTTTTCCAGGCTCTGTTTTTTAAATCTATAGCACTGGAAGTTGTTTATGGTTCTTAAAGATCAAAGTAGCCAAGTGGCTGGAAAAGTTAAATGATAATGCCTGTTTCCCTGACTCACATTTAACTCTTGACAGGATGTTTGTAGTACCAGGTTATTACTTTAGAAACTGGAAATGTATTTATTCCATTAGCATTTATTGTATCCTCACAAAAGACTACAGAGCAAAATGATCTGGGATGGGAGTTTGTAGACTGTAGAAGAAAATACAACTGTCTTTAAGGAGTCTTGCTATTTTAAAGCAAGACTCATACAACTCGTAAAGTGAGTTTTATGAGTTATGAGTATCTTATTTATCTTACTTTCATTATAGCAAGAACACATTAGTTAGGTTTATTAGGATTTTGGGTGTTTTTTTCAGGGTACTTTTTTGTGTATGAGGAAATGTTAATGTCAGCCCCTTCCATATAAATAGGGCACCTTTCACCTCAGATTAAATTGCCCTGAGAGGAATATTATTCTATGTGTAACAAGGACATTTCCAAATTTTAGCTGGAAAACCCTTGTCATCTGTATGGGGTATGACATGGTATGTGAGAAGAAAAGAAGAATCGAGGCCAACCCAAGGATTTTGGCCTGGGTTATAAGAAAGGATAGATTTATAAGAAAAAGGGACAGTAAGGCCATAGGGAGAATAGTATAAGTGGGAAGATCGGGTTGAAGATCAGGAGTTTAATTTCACACGTGTGATTTGAGATGCCTATTTGAGTCTAAAGTTCAGAATAAAAGCCTGGGCAGTAAATATAAGTTTGGGAGTTATTAGCATTTTAATGACATTTAAAGCCATAAGACCAGGTAAGATCTCCAGGAAAAAGAATGTAAACAAAGCAGAAAAGAGAACTCCAAAGTTGAGAGGACAAGAAGAACCAACCAAAGACACTGAAAATAACAATCAGTGATGTAGGAGGAACACGGGAGACTGTGGAAGGCAAGTGATGTGCATCAAAAAGATGTCTTAGACTTCTAAATCAAGTATTATGAGGACTGGAAATATACGATTGGATTTTGTAACACGGGGGTCGATGATGACTTTGACAAGCATAGATTTAGTGAATTGGTATAAACAAAAGCCTGAATTTGAGTGGTTTTAAGAGAGAAAGGGCAGTGAGGAATAGGAGTCCCTTAGTTATGCTAGCTAGAATGTTGGGAAAGATCCAATGAAAATGATAAATTGAAGATGTAGGTTATGAAATGAACCTTCTATAATGTTAATCAAACAACACAAATTATACATTCTTTCATTTTATCACTGTCATTTCTGGTATTTTACTGAGACTTTGATAAGAGATGGGGCAACTCACTAATATACCCCATGTGTGTATATAAATATATGTACACTATATATATATATATATATATATATATATATATATGGTGTCCACTGTATAGCAGTTCAAAAGTATGGGACTGATGGATGGAGAAGGGAGAAGGAAACAGAGAAAAAAAGGATGGGAAAATATAAGAAGAGAAAGGAAAGAATGTAGCAAAGAAAGGAAAGTAAAAGAGCAAAAATGGGGTGAGAATTTTAGTAAATGATAGAAAAAAATACAAATGTAAAGCTAAATACAAAGTCAAAAGCTGAATATTGTCTTTGCCACATATTATGTACTTGTATATTTATGCTTATGTAAATAACTATTAAAAACATAAAATATTGTAAATTTTAAATTCATATACTAAATAGTATTTCATATTTTAGAAATACCTTGAGTTTAAAACTAGGTCATCTTCAGCTATTTCTTCTATAAATGATTCCTTTAACAATTTAACAGTTAAGGAGCTACAAAATGTGAACAAAATCAAAGTGCCTTTCTCTTATGATAGTATTCCAAAGTCAAATTTACCTCATCCTTTAAGGAAGGAGAGTTATAAGGCCCTTAACAAAAATATGAAACTTCTCCCTTCAAGGAAAAAAAGAGAGAGGAGACAGACTAATAAAACTATGAAAAAGAAGCTATTATTTTTTTAAATCTCTTTTAAATATAGCACCCTTATGAAGAGACACAGTCTGACTTTTACGCTCTAAAAATTCTAGGTCTGATACCATAGTTTTGATTATGGCAATGATAATGATGATGGTGATGCAGATTATGATATGGAGAAAATATACATATGTAGATATATATGGATTGATGGATTTATGAGCTATATAATAAGCTATAGCCAAAAAGAATATTTTGGCTATATGAGCAGAATATTAGATATTCTGCTTTTCTAAAACCAAAATGAAATTAAACCAATTCAAATTTTAAAAGAA